GGTTTGAAATTAATGGATTCCATGAATATTAAGTCTTATAGTACATTAAACCATAAAGCTGGTTGCTATATGACACTAAATTAACTTTATACTGCTCACCATTTCCTGTGACACAGAAATGAAGAACTGAAGGATACCTGGCACAGTACTTCATATATGATGTATGTTTAATAAATATCTATTGATTGATGGTCCAGATGATGCAGGCCAAGCCTGCTCATTTGCCATTAAAAAAAACCTGAATAGTTTGGAGACTGGCAGGGGAACAGCTAGCTTGATGAGAAAATAATTAAAGTAATAAAGAAGGACTATCTTTTCCTTGAATGAACTACAAAGAGTAAAGAGAAATCACATTTATGGAACATAATAAAGAGAAGGTTTCAAGAATTCCAGTGCATCAAGAATTATCCTAGACAGACCTCAGCCAAAGTAAACAACTAGTGTTAGTTCAGACTGCTTACAAGTGAATGAAAATTCCAGCATCACACAGCTTGTTGCAACAGCACATTCTATTGGTTTACCATTTAAGGATTCTATGAAGAAAATAATTTGAAAGCTGCTGTGCGGTTCATTAAACTATGCAATATGTTTTTTATTCATCGAGCCTCATATCCTTGCCAAATGCTTAGTAGCCATACAAAGAAACAGTGGATTTTTTCTTAAGGTAACAAAATGGGCTTTGTCAGAAGTAAAACTTACTAGTCTAGTAAAGGAAAAAATTATCTTTTTAAAACCTACCCACCTCTTTCATCAAATGTACCCCTTCATAATTAAAAACAAAGTTTCCAGATGTTTTAGACTATCATTAAATATTTCCTAAAATCATTTGGAGAACAGTTTACTTTAAAAAATGTTTTACTACTTTATTTATATTAATAGGTTAGAAATAAAGTCTTTATCAAGACTATAGATATTAAAACTAATTTGCAAGTAATAAATAAAAATGGGTAAGTACAATAGTTCTTACCCTTTCCCCATGCCTTCAGTTTTTCAAAAGACAACAAAGTCCTAATGGTAACACTTCTCATTAGAAGCAAATTCCTCAAAGGAAAATGGTGAGTAGGGAGCACTCTTCTCCCTCCCCCATGCTTTCCCACCACTGGGGATACACTGGTAATACATGCTAACTCCTACGACTACATAAAATATTTGGCTGAAGCTTCAAGTCTGTGAATGGAAGAATTACTACTCTAGTATGGTAGGAAACAGTCAAAACACAACAAACTGAAATTTCTAACAACATAAACATTTATGACACCAGAAAAGAAGCCTGATATCTTTTGTCACTTTTGAACCAAGAACAATTAAAATTTGTAGGATTTGTTCCCCGCCCTTCCAAGACTCACTCTGGTCACTATAGTGACGGGAGGAAAAGCATATGCAAAAGACATAGAAAAGACAATGCAAAACAGAGGAGGGAAAAAAATATGTACTTGTTAAGTGAATTAAGTGGCAACATGCTGAAGTTCTTCATTCAAGAACTCTAAACAGAAATGTGACAAAGTCAGAAACTCAGGGCCATTTCTGGCACACCAACTATGTATGCTACAGGCATGGACATTCTTTACCCCAAAAAGCTTGTCTTAAATAAAGTTAAATGCAATAAAGCCCTGCTTTCTATTATTGAAGTGAAAGAGCTGAACTTCATTAATGGAGAGAAAAGGGCAGGAAAGCCTTTATCAATTCAATAGGAAATATCTATTTATATTTAAGAAACTTTTTTCTATTTTGGGGACTTAGCACTCATTCCCTTGAGTCAATGGTGCTAAGGGTTTCAAGGAAGTAATTTGTGAATAGCATCAGGGTCCAGTGACTAATTTTAAAACCCAGGTGTTACAGTATGATAAATTAATCACCTACTCTCTTTAATTTTTTTAAAACATCTTTCTCAAAGTTTCTGTAAAGCTACTAATGTCAACAATTCAAGCAGGTTTGAGAAGCAATTTGTAAAGTAATGAAGTGAGCGACTGTGTACACATGTACATGTGTGTATATGTGTATGTATAAACACAGGCATACATATATAAAATGTACAATGACACATAAAATTTAAGTATCTTATAAAGAAATGGAAGATGCTGCTAACAAAGGAGATACAGAGAGACATTTATTCAAAAGAGGCCAAAATTTTTCTAAAAATTCTTTTTTCTGTAGAGAACACCTGATTTTGGCATGTGCTTATTTTTCAATAGCAAACATAAGGATTTCTTTCATAGCATAATAAAGATGGAATGGGTTCAGTGCTACCATGAAAGACTTCTATAAGATCTATCTTGGTAGTCTTATTGCTGTTCCACCTACTTAAAATTTTTCACTAGAAAAAACAAGTCGCTTCCCTCCTTGTCCTACACATAGGACACTGTACTATGTAAAGCAGCCAGGAAGAATTCTGTGTTTCACCTCTGAGCAGAAATAATTGGAGCCATGATTTCATGGTTTCTGTGCAGGGGGAGAGAATGAAACAATTAGCTGAAATGCTAAAGGCAAAAGGAGCGGGTGCTCTCATCCCACAGCCAACTCAGAAGCTAGAAGCTAAGCCTTTACTGCTGATTTGCCCACGAATGGGGGAAGAGTGGGATTTGTATCTCTGTGTGTACATATCTTGAATTGTATATCGATGTATCCGTGTTGTGGGGGAAAACAGAGGTCAAAGTGATAGTGGTGGTGAGGAAAGTAAAATCTGAGAAATTCTAAAACTGATATCCCAGAATCATAGAATTTCTAATGACTCAGTAGGAAAAGCGCAGTCTGATATAACAGAAATACCTTGTTCAAGTTTGGTGAAAAATTACATCCTTTAGAAAGCCTTAGAAACAACCATTGGCCAGAATAATTTATGCTGTTCAAGAAGGAAGAAATATTGCTTCCCTCTACCCCCTTCCACTACTAATGTAATATGCACGTGGAAGTTGGAGAGATGAAACAAACCGGTGACACAGTAAACTCTTATACTCACAAAGCTACCATAGCAGAAAGATGATGGTAACACAAGATGGCTTTGGAAAAGAGAGCCTATAAATGAAAAGTCCTTTGTTTAATAGTTGATCCCCCCTTTATTGTTCATCCATTGTCCAGTTTGTTACTTGTAACATGTATTATTTATTTTAAATGCTTCATATACTTTATCTTTAATTCTTATAATAATTCTACAAAGTAAGTATTATTAATCTTATATGTTAAAAAAACAAGAAGTTGAGATGTTCACCTGCATGCCACTGAAGCTGTAGAGCCAGGATGTAACCCAATACTGCCTCTAAGATTCTTGAGGGGCTGGGGACATAAGCTCTGCACCTATTACCTTGCAAAGCCAATACTTCTTCAGGTTAAGAGGGATATTCAGACACTGTTATGGGATGAATTTTGTTCCCCCCAAATTCCTAGAGTTAAGCCTTAACCTCTAGTATTTCAGAATGTGCCTGTGTTTGGAGATAGGGCCTTTAAAGAGATGATTAAGTTAAAATGGGGTCAGGAGAGCAGTCCCTGATCCAACCTGACTGGTGTCCTTTTAAGAAGAAAAACTGTGCATACACAGACACATCAGGGATGTGCACCCACGGAGGAAAGATCATTTGAGGACACAGAGAGAGGGCAGCCACCTAAAAGCCAAAAAGAGAGTTCTCATAATGAAACCAAATTTGAAAACTCCCTGATTTTGGACTTGTAGTCTTTAGAAATGTCTGATGTTAAAGCCACCCAGTCTATGTTTTTTTTTTTGTTATGGCAGCCCTGGCAAACTAATACAGGGGCAGACAAGAAATCATCAAATGTAGTAACAAACACAGACTGCGTAAGTAAGAGCAGTTCATCTGTTGTTCAGAACTGGGATGAGGGTTGTCACAGATCTTGGCTTTCAATTGAAGCAGGAAAGAGTTCCATCCCAGGGGGCTCTGAAGGGTTGTGGCCATGTCTGCCAGGTGCAGTCCTTGTAGTATATTCCCCTCTCACTACTATGACTAGCTCCTTTCTCCCTCCTTTACAGAAACATGGCGGAAATGTCCCAACAAGGTCAACAGACATTCCCTAACAAGCTAGGTACATGATAAATTAAAAGAATTTCAAGGCATGGCCCAGTGGTGTTACCTCAGATCTTGCTATAATAACATGACATTTATAAAAATACAACCTACTGGATATTTGACACTGCTTGGGAATGAAGAATATGTCCACTTAAGAGCCAATGCCCCAGGCTGGCAAAGAAATCTCAAGCCAAATTTTCTTTTACAAACATTACCTATCTTTTAATATTCTATAGTCTAGGAAATAAAGAAAATATCTCTGCTTATTTATAAGTTTCCTGTTGCCTAAACATAAAAAGCATAAACCATATATAAGAATGAGTGAAATGCTAAGGACATATCGATGGAACAGCTCTGCGCATCTGGCAAAAAGCCTCAACACTTTCTAGCCTTGGCCATGGGTCACCCTTGCCCCCAACACACGCCTCGACAGAGCTCACATGCCACCGGTACTGGGTACCTCTGATCTCAACGCACACTGAAAAGGTTGCATAGATTATTTTCTCAGATACCAGCTAGTGTTCCCATTCACTTTTGCCATTCACCTTAGATCATACAAAATTTAATATCTAGGAGGATAAACTCAGCCTCTAATGCATATGACAAGGGTGGGCAGTCATCATGAAGTTCTCCTCAAGCAAAAAGGATTTGCCAGCTTCCCTCTGAGGTCTAGACCCTGGAAGACGAACCGTGGTGTGTCTGAGTTTCCATCAGGCTGGGTGATTGCTGGCTGCTGCTCTGTGCGGTCAGAATCCCATGGCCCAGCTGTCCTAGAAACATCTCATACTTCTGTTGAGAACTCCTTACCTAAGCCTTATGTCTTGGAGCCGAAAATATGCTATTTGAAAGCTACAGAATGCATGTTAACTGACACTCAGAGCACAGCTGACCCCTTTCTTCTCCAGACCAGTGACTGCTCTAAAAAAACACGTACGTTCACATGAACACGTCGAGAACAGAAAGAAAGGTTCAGATTTTCCTCACCATGTGCCACCCAGCCATGTTTACACTGATCGCAAGTCCTCAGGTTAATCTTCCCCGGCTGAAAACATTCACACGTGCAGTTTACCAGTGTGCAACGGATGGCCTGAAAAATAAAGGAGTGAGAAAAGCATCAGCATCTGTTCAAAGGTACTACATTTCTTCTACATTTTACTAAGAAGTATCTACTTCCATTTTTAAAGTCTTCGTGTTGGTAGAGGCCTGGAGAGTTTTTTCATGCCATTAAAATCTCTTATAAAAAAGTAAAAACACAAGATTCATTCACTAATAGAATATTTCATGTCACTCATATGTAACCTTTAACCTAGAAAGGTAGAGTAGAATAAGAATAAAGGATTACTTATTCTACAACAAGCTGGATTTATAACATCAGGATCCAAAACAGGAAAAAATATTGTTGCTAATCCAATTTAAATTTATCCATTTAGTAATAATACAAAAATATACATTTGAGTATGACGATGTTCAAGTAAAATGTTGATAAAAGTAAAACAAAACATACAAATATTAGGATATTACTTTTCTCCTGCTGAGTTTCACTTAAATACTTTGTTAATCTTTCAGGGACATTTTAAAGATACCCCATTGGCCCCAAAAGAACCTACTGTACTGTGTATTTTCAGTATTATTTATCACTTCCCAGTTCCTTGTTTTTTTTACCCCTGTGATATTATAATTTCAACTTCATTCCTATTTCGAAAGATACAAAACAACTCTCCTTTTATTTTAATGGTGATGTAAGAAAACAACCCTAAATTTGTTTTAAGATCAAATATAGAATAGGAAAAGCCATTTATCTGAACATTTTATATTTGGCATAATCCAGCTGCATCTTAGAAAACTGAAAAACACATTGAAAAATCTTTCATTTCTTTAAGGGTATTTTAAAATATCCTCTCACCAGTTTATATTATGAAGTGAATCCACAGAAAATTAGCATAAATAAAGTACAACTTTTTTATGGATAAAATCCTATACTTAAGAGTTGTGCTAAAGCTGACCTATGCCCTAGACTACAGTTAATAAATTTATCTCATACATTTAGTTCTAATTTGCATGAAAATTCTGAAGACAGAAGGGATTTAGTCCAATCATTCACAGATTAACAATCTACTGTAACTACCTGAACTGCCAGGAAAAGATCTCTCTACAGCTTTATATGCAATCGATGATTGCTGATTTGGGTGAAGGGGGAAGGAGGGCAAAGGCGTGGGGCTACCTGAAACTGCAATTCTGTGCCTCAAAGCTATGCTTCACTTACATACCTCCAGATGCTGATATTCCTGGAATCATTTGGACTTTTACATAAACTTTCATTTGTAGCGGACAGTACTTGAGATATCATTAATATCACTGAGCCAAATTCCATTTACAGAGAGTAAGACTGAAGAAGGTCCTAATCTTCCCTATGTTTTGGATTAGGAAAGTTTAAAATAGTTTTCTTTCAATAATGAACATGAAATCTGTAGGTTGCTACTGGGTTTCTGATGCTACATTCCTCACTGAAGACTCCTTTCTTATTTTACACCTCCATACATGATTTGCTCTTCTACTATCTCTGGGGAAATACTCAACTGTATAATCTGGTTGATGGTTCAGGGTCTCTTCCACTGTCAGCAGTCCAATGACACTAGTTAGGCTGTAAATCTTTTCTGTATGTATTAGTAATTAAATGAACTGCTAATAATAGGGACACAAAAGAAAATGCTGACTAAGCAGGAGTAATATATGTATTTGCAGGTTATAAGGGGAAACGTTTCTCCCCAAATTTCTTACCTCACTTTCAATAGTTACCAAGTAAATATCTTAGAACATCTCCAGGTTAGAAATAGTTTCTTAAACTAACATGATCATTAGTTAATGAACTCACAACTAGATTGGATCATGGTCAAAACAAACAAAAAAAAGAGAGAACAGTGTTCCTGCTAAAAACAAGCACTTTACAGACTATCCAATGATAAATTCAGATATGGCAACCAAGTTGGCATTAAAATATTTATATAATCTGAAGTGTGATCATAGAAGCTTTCATAAATCCTTAAAAAACAAAACAGAACAACAAAAAAACCCCTGTATTACCAAAATTAAGGGATGATCAGTAAAAAGAGATGATCTCTCAAGGACTATATGTTAACTCAACCACAAAAGACATACATATTTTAAATAATTGATTTGATAATATTTAATTATTTTATAAAAATAGCCTAATTTTTCATGGTGTTTAAAAGCACAGTTCTTAAATTTTTATTTACTGATTTGAGAGAGAGGGAGGAAGGGAGAGAGAAAGAGAAAGAAAAACACTGATTCTTCTCAGATAAGATCAAATTCAAGGAATTCATCATCACCAAGCCCTTATTATATGAAATGTTAAAGGGACTTATCTAAGAAAAAGAAGATAAAAAAGATGAACAGTGAAAGGACAGCAAACTCACAGTTATTAACAACCACACCTAAAACAAAAGCAAACTAAGAGGAAAGCTAGATCAGGAGCAGAACCATAGAAATGAAGATCACATGGAGGGTTAGCAACAGGGGAGTGGGAGAAGGAAAAGGGGGGAGAAGGTACAGAAAATAAGTAGCATAGATGGTAGGTAGAAAATAGATGGAGGGGCAAGAATAGTATGGGAAATATAGAATCTAAAGAACTTGAGACACATGGTTATAAACTAAAGGGGGGAAATGGTGGGGTGGGGGGTGCAGGGTGGAGGGGAATGAAGTGGGGAATAGAACAACTGTAATGGCATAATCAAGAAAATAAAATAAAAAAACAAAAAAAGAAAAACATTGATTTATTGTTCCACTTATTTGTGCACTCATTGGTTGATTCTTGTATGTGCCCTGACTGGAGATCAATCAAACCCACAACCCTGGCACATGGAGATGACACTTGAACCAACTGAGCTACCCAGTCAGGGCTTAAAAGCACACTTTTAAATCATATTTTTATTCAGGACCTGAAAAATTAAGAGATTGTGGAGTTACTTTATTTTTATGTATATTTATTTATTCACTGGTTGAATCGTAGATTCACTTACTCTAAGCTAGCTTATGATTCAAATATTTTCTCTTCCTAAATAACTCTGTACATCTGGCACATTTGGGAATTAAACTTCTCAGATCATCATCTTTCTTTCTAAATTCTACTCTTTCTGTTCCTAAACATACAAACACTGGAACACCTCAACTACTTTTGTATATAAACACTTAAGTACTGGAATATCCATTTTGTATTTCTATGAATTCCAGGTCTATTTGTTTTAAATACAGATTTATATACACTACAATCATTCCTTAAGGGAATTATATATATATTTTAAAAATATGGTCTAAATAAATATTTTGAGTAAGAGAATATTGTGGCTTCAAAGGAAGTTTTATTCTAAATAACATTTTTGAAACGACATAAAACTTTGACATACTATTTATTCACAGTAAAATAGAACCAATGTGATCACTTGCCAACTCACCCGCACTTTAAAAAAATAAATTATCGTAAAACTATCAAAGCCAGTTAAGCCTCAAAAATGTACATTCTTTATAAGGAGACAGTTGGGAAGAGCAGAAATGAATAAACTTTCATTTTTACGGTCATGTCCATTTCTTCCTTCATTCAGCTAACATACGAGTGCTGCCCACTCACAGCTGGGCACTACAAACTACAGAAAATCCAGAGATGATGACAAAGAGGAAGAAAGGGGACACCAAAACAAAGTACAGACAGTTGAGTCAGATTGTTTCCACCTAAATACACAGGGATCCTTATGCAGGTCAGGCGAACTCAGGCTACCAAGTCCCCATGTTTCAGGATCCTGACTGTACCCTGAAATTCTTCCCTCCATTCTTACAGGACCAAAATTCCCAACTCCCCTCGAACAATGGCAGCAATAACAAAATTTCTTAAGGCTACAACTCATTAAAAGTAATTATTCCTTCTGCTTACCTTTACCATGGATTTCTTGAAAGAAAAATCCATGCACCCAAGCACCCAACTGCTTCCACTTCTTTACCACCACCTACATTTTATTTTCACAATCTGAATTCTGCTACCGAAACCGCCTTCTCCAAGAGGAATATTCTCACCACATCTGGTCCCTTCACTAGTCTCCTTGTCTTCTCAGACCTCGATGCAGCTTACAGCACTAACTTTCCTTCGTAGAGACCAACTATCCTAGTTTTTCTGGCAGCAACTTCTCACTCTCCACTGTAAATAAATACAGGTGTTTCCCACGACCAGGCTCTTCTCTCTTTAATTTGGCAATTCCATCTCCTCCTACAGTTTCAAATATCATCACTATGCAAAAATCATCACTTTAGAGCCAAGAACTGTGTTAAGTGGCAGGAAAGAGATGGCAGAGCCTGTGTGGTCAAGGCCTTTACAGTCAGAGTTTGTGGGCAGTGGGTTTAGAGGAGAGACCCTAAGAAGAGAAGGAAGCCCTTAAACAGGCCTGAGAAGCACCATCTGTCCCTTTTTATTCCTGTGTTTTCTTCTATTAAAGGTAAGATGGATTTATTTATCATTTATAATAGTAAATTATTATGTTATTCATAATAGCTACATTTACTAGATAAGTGACATTTTCTAGATCTTGTGCTGAAAACTTTATAAACTTTAACTCTCTTAATCCTCAGAAAATACCATGAGGTTTATACTATTATCACCTTTATTTTGCAAAACAAGGAAACCAAGGTGGAGACAATTAAGTACCTGCCTAAAGTTGATCAACTAGTAATGTCTCTGGAATCAGGTCTGTGCCAGCTCTCCATCCCTCTGACTGGAAGTCTTGAGCTACAATCCCATCCCCAGTTAGGCAGTGGTGGAGTGGCAATCCCATCCCCTCTCCCTGCCCACCATCCCATCGCCACTGTGCACTGTTAGCTCCTGCTCATCTCTCAGGCTTCGATGCAAAGAGTGCCTCTACTCCCCAAGGCAGTTGCCCTAACATCCAAATCAAGGTAAATTCCCCATTAGTCACCTGTTTCACAAGGGATCTTTCTGTCATTGAACTTATCACAGTTGTGAACATTATAATTTATCTATAATCTATTACAGATAAATAAAATATTATATTTATACATCTGTATGAT